ATAAAATACAAGCGAGTAGTTATCGACGCCACAAAGTTTTTAATCCTGGTGATCTTGTCTTGGTTAGACTCCGGAAGGAGTGCTTTACCCCAAGAAGTTATTCAAAACTCAGTCCAATGAAAAATGGTCCTTTTCTGACGGCCAAGCGCATTAATGATAACACATACATCATCGACCTACCTTCTGATTTACGCACATCTTCCACATTCAATGTTTAATGATATTTACAGTTACTATCCTCCAGATACACCAATACTTATTTCCTTTCTCTCAGGTTTTCCTTTATCTCAGGTTGAGTTCCTCTGAAGCCGGGGAAATTCGATGCTTTGCACCATGTGCTCGAGGAACATTATACTACTACTTATGTTTAATCCTATTTTCTGCTTATTTCTTCAGTTATTAATACTTTAATACATTATAGTTATAACTTATATTAGGATAAAATCACGGAATATAAATACTTTTATAAGTAAATTATTGGAATTAGTTGATATTATGATTTATAGGAAGATAAATATCTTACGTATTTAAGAGACTAAATGGGTTAGAGAAAAGATTAAGGAAATTGATAGTTTATGCTTTAAAATTTGGTATTCAGATAGGATTCACACTTAATGTTATAAAAATTAATAGAATTGGAGATATAATTATAGCCCTAACGATAATTGTTGATATTAAGGTTTTTAATATTATAAGTAGTTATGCTCCTCAATTAAGTTTAAATATAAGTTCAAAAGAAAAATTCTGGAATGCCTACAAGAATAGACTGACCTAGAAGAAATAATACAAATGATTCCACTTGAAGAAAAAGTTTTCATTTGATGGGATTTAAATGGACATGTTGGTAGAATGGTAGAAGATTTTAGAAATATTCATGGTGACTATAGCTTTGGAGTGATTAATGAAGAATGTAGAATCATATACGATTTTGTTTTAGCGTATAATTTTGTTATTGCTAATACTTTATTTAAGAAAAGAGATGAGCATATTATTACCTATAAGAATAGATCTAATAAAACACAAATTGTTCATTTTTTTTGAGAAAAAGAAGTCGAGAATGTAAAGATTGTCAGGTCATTCTAGGTGAAAATTTAAGTACTCAATATCGATTATTAGTTTTGGATTTTAAGATGAAGAGTTGTGAGATAAAAAATACAAGGAAACAATGTCATATAATTAGATAAGACATTTAAAAAAATATATAAAATAGTTTTTTTATGAGTAAACTTCAAGATTTTAAGACTTGGGATGTTCATGAAAAAGCAGATTCGTTGGGGGATAAAATAACAAGTACTATTAAATAAGTGACAAAAGATGTACTTGGAGAATCAAAAGGAAAAATTTTTATAAATAAAAATACTTGGTGATTAAATAATAATGTGCAAAGATAAAATATAAGTTGTGCTGTAAAAATTGGTTTAAAGGTAAAATTTAGAGAACTGAGAAAAATATAAGGTGACCCAGAGGGAGTCTAAGAGAACAATTTTTGACGTTAAAAATTTCACCTTTGGTGATCGTTATAATAGATTAGATACTATAGATGGTGAAAAATATATGAATAAACCAACCAAATAAAGAGAAAAGAAAAGTAAAGATTTAATTTAAGTAGTGTATTAAAACTGAAAATCAAAAAGTGTTTTTCTTAGAGTAAGATATTCAACACAGGTGGCTAACCTATTTTGATAAACTTTTCAGTAAATTTTCTGAAAATACGTTCGACCATAGTGATATTAATATCATTAATAATAATAAAACATTTTATTTTTACTATTGTATTAGTATAAAAAAGTTGAGGAGGCTTTAATAAAATCAAATAGGACCTGACGATATCCCAACTGAGTGTGGAAATATTTAGGAGACTTGGTAGTTTCTTGGCTTACTAAACTCTTTAATATTATTTTAAAAACTAAAATGGTGCCTGAGGTATGGAGGAAGAGTATTTTGGCAAATTATAAAAGAATTAAGTTTATGTGTCATACTTTAAAATTATGGGTGAGTGTAATTGAACATAGGTTAAAATGTGATATGTAGATTTTTTATAATTAATTTGGATTTATGTCGGGCAGGTCTACTATGGAAGCTATGCATTTATTGAGAGGTTTGATGGAGAAGTAAAGAGAGAATAAGGAGGATCTACATGTGATTTTTGTTGATTTAGAAAAAAGTTTACGATAAGGTTCCAAGAGGAGTCATTTGTAGAGTTCTAGAGAAGAAATGTGTTGATATGATTTATATTCATGCCATTAAAAATATGTATACTAGAACTGTTACTTGTGTTCGAATAGGAGGAGGATTGACAAAGTATTTTCCTATTTCAGTTGGATTATATCAGGGAACAACTTTAAGCCCATATATTTTTTGATTTAATTATGGATGCTTTTATTGGACATTTACAGGAGGATGCACCTTGGTTTATGTTTTTTGTTGATGATATTCTTCTTGTAGATAAGACCAGAGAAAGAGTTCAGAAAAAACTTGAAATATGGAGGTCTACATTTGAGTCTAAAGGCCTTCGTTTGAGTAGATCTAAAATTGAATACATGGAATGTAATTTTAGTAATATTGAATCTAGTGGCAGAGTTGTAACTATGGGTGATTAAATCATTAAAAGATGTGAATATTTTAGATATCTCAAAGTTTATTGTTCAAAGTGATGGTGATATAGATGGGGATGCTTTTAGTAGAATTCAAGTTGGTTGGTTGAAATGGAGGAATGCATCAGACCTATTGTATGATAGAAAAGTACCGCTTGGACTAAAAGAAAATTTTTATAAGATGGTGGTGAGGCCTGCAATGCTATATGACGCAGAATGATGACCTTTAAAAGAGAAACATAAAACAAAGTTAAGTGTTGTTGAGATGAGAATGCTTAGGTGGATGAGTTGCTTTACAGTCAGAGACAAAATGTTAAATGAATATATCCATGATAGTGTTGGTTTAGCTCCAGTGGCGGCGAGATTAGAGAGTCATCTTAGATATATTAAATGTCAATCATCTGACGATCTAGTTAGGAGAGTAGATGTTTTAGATTCGACTTATGTTAAGAAAGACAGATGTAGACTTAACAAGAATTGGGCATATTGTATAAAATGATCTTAATCCATTAGAATTAAATGAGAATATGGCACTGAATATAATGCAATGGAGAAAAAGCATTCATGTATCGACCTCACTTATTGGGATAAAGGCTTATTGTTGTTGTTGTATAGTTATAACTAATACACTTAGGATTAGTCGAGTATGCATAAATATACTTGTAGGCATTGTAAAAGGGATATAGATGAAATATAAGAAAACCTACCTTTTGTTTTTCATTTCATTCCTTCTTGTTTTGCCGTTGTAGGAATTTTGTTCCCACCATTAATGCTTCTTATTTTTATACTATTTGATGGTGAGAATTTTTCATGGCAATAGTTTTGTTTAATTGTAGTAACAACTAACAATATGTCTTGGGGTTGCCTAATGGGATAACCTTTAAAACTAGGAATGCAAATTGGTTGGTATTGCATTGCATTACTCCTTTGATTCAATGAGGATATCTTGTTGGTTTTGTTTAGGGTCAACCTTATTTTGTTTTCTGCAATATTAAGTTGGATCTTAAATCATTTAAATCTAAGAACTTTTTTGGTTTGGAATGATGCTAAGTAGGCGTTTAATCGAGTGGAGTTGTGCTCAAACCAACAAACTTGAGCTCAATCTGCTGTCATAAGTGTGGCTCAAACTCAAGCTCGAGCTTGAATCAAGCTCATGTAATGATCTTGAAACCATCTTGTCCACTTATTACTAGGTTCAAGAGCTTGACTCCTCCTGATGGGAGCTCGTTAATGTGTTTTCAGAGGAAGTAAAGAAGCTAACTACAGAAAGTGCCATCAAGATCAATGTCTAATCCCGGATAAGGAAGAGTCTCAATGCGAGCTTGCCAGAGAAGGTTTCCTTGGGACAAGTTGTCGTCCTTGGGAGAAGAATGGAAGCGGTGTGACCAGTTTTGAGAATTGTGAAATGTGCAGATAAGGAATATATTTACGTAATTTAAACAGGATGAGGAAGAAATTCTTTATTGTTTATTTAATGCGACCTGACATTTACAACTTGCATTAATCGTAGTTTTTTTATTTTTTATTTATAACAATGTCCTTTGCTTTTTATTAGAAATAGCCATCTCTCAATATTTATTTTAACACGTCATATTAAGCTTGAACTCAAGCACGTTTAATTTACAAGTTTAAGTTTGAGCTCGAATGAACTCGTGGCTCTATAAGCTCGACTCACGAGCTAATTTATGAGTGTAATTTGAGTCTGCTCAGCTCATTTACATCCGTAGCGGTTACCAATCCATAAGCATTCCAACTGTAGAAGCAAGTTTTTTTTATCTCTAATTTTTGAGTTGGGGGCGAGGTTGAAATAAAAGGAGATTGAGAATTGGAGAACTTTGACTTCGGCATAGTGGAATATTTAGGGTATTGATAGCCTCTTGCATTTTTAGCTTGTTTAGCCATTGGATTTCTCTTATAGAGTCTCTTCTAATACATGTCTCACCGATCAGTAATTAGGCTGATTTTGCATTGAATTGTGATCCAATTCTAAATTTTTTGACTAGGTCAGGTCACTATGTTTTCTGAATTGAATTCAACTGCCATTCTATCTAAAAATCTGATATCTCAGATTGAACTAGATAAATATCTAGTAATTGGCTTGTCCAGTTCAATACTTGACATGCTTAGAGGCGAACAAAAACTTGAGAAGGTATGTGGGGGGTTCATTGGAAGTACAATTTTAGGATATGAGAGGATATATTTAATGAATCAAAATATCTTATTATTTATTATGTAAATTCAGCTTTAGTCCCCTCAACCAAGATATTTTTACTTTCACACATTAGAACCTACTTTATAATTGCTAATTCTTGTATAATATTTTGCGGTTTTATGAACTTTTAAATTGACATTTTCCTTGTTGCTTGCTGCGTTTAAGTATTTGTTTTTTTTCCTTTTTATGCACAGTTCCAAGATCTCTCATTGATGATGAGTATGCTAATGCAACTGTAAAAGATCCCAAAATACTGCTAACCACTTCGCGCAGTCCAAGTGCTCCTCTTACTCAATTTGTTAAGGTAATCCTTTTTTTTTTTAACTATGATACGATGATATGATGTATTCATTCTGATATGATGTATTCCATTCATGTCACACCAGTTAATATTTTTTATTTGTGGTTTCTTTTTCTAGGAGCTAAAAATTGTTTTCCCAAATGCAACAAGGATGAATCGTGGTGGCCAGGTTTATAGTATTTCCTAAACATATTTAACTGTTTTTATGATTTTTCTGTTAGCTTAATGGTTAGCTAATCTATTACATCATACCTTTATAACTTTTGGAAACAAACAAAAATCTACTATTATCCATCCTTTCAAGCGTATAACTTTCTTAAATGTACTGGGTTGATGGTAATGGAGTTGCATGTTGTTAGCAAATAAACTATCAAGATTATTTATTTATCCATCAATAACATATCTCTTAATTTATTTGTAAGAATACACGAATTTTGAAACTGTCTTTTATCTACATACATGTATATATATGCTGTGCTGTTAAGTCAAATTTTTGAAAGATAAGGGCACAATTTTCTTTTCATTAGCTTCCGTAATAAAGTTTTGTGCTATTCATCTTGTTTTTATTTGTCCATGATTCAAAGATTAGTTGGAAATAAATCAAATCGCCTATGATTGCAAGTTGGGTACCTAATCATGGATGAATTAAATAGTTCATGTTTGATAATTTAATTTCTTTAAGAAAATTGTTGCATGTGCGATTCTCTCGTCACATTGTTATTGAAGATGTTTTTAGGGGTCCTTAGGCACGAGCAAATTGTCAATCTGACATTATTTGATGGCGATCAAGGCTCGGGAAGTTTAATCATTGGAGCAATTTTAAGATTGATAATGATAAATTTGAAAGTTTTCTTGTTTATTGAATATGTTTTATTCGATTTTGAATTCATATTAGGATAATTCCTCCATGGTTATAAAAGAATAAGAGCTTGTATAAGTTATCTAGGGTTTCTATCTTTGTGGATTTTATTTATATAAGAATAAGAACTTATCCTTGTATTTGCGGATAATCATACTTAATTTCCTTGTAAAAAAGCAAGATGGAAATCAATTTCACCTCACAACAATTTCCTTTTCCCCTCTCATTTTTAGGGTTTTCTCTTGGTCATAAAGGTTGTTGACTTCTATTTTGACACTCCGAATTCTCCAGGTCTAAATCTTACTATTAGGCACCCAAACCATATAGTCTCAATCTTGGCCTTGTCACCTTAGCTTTAGGATTGTCTTAGGACTTGGGATCTTAGTTCCTTAATCTTAGTAAGTGAACTTATCTCTCTTAACGAGGAGGATATGTTTATTTCTGATCCAAAGCCAAGCCTTAAACTAGTTCATCCTAAACCCAATCTAAACCCATTTATTAGTTGAGTTGGCCAAAAACCTAACCTTATGCCTTTGGTGATCTTGATCTTGATTTGGGTGATTAGGATTACAGTGGTCCGCGGCTCCTACCTAAGCTGACCAATGCTAAGTGGCATGATATTGACCAATTTGTTTAGGGCCTATAACCTTATGTAGAATAAGATAGTGTAAGTCCTATTGCTGAGTAATTTTCTTCACTCCCTTTTCTATAATTGGCATATGGTTCTTCTCCTTTATAGGTAATCTATTCATAACATAAGACTCACGGCCTTTGGCATCATCTCTCGAGATAATGTAAGCCTATTGATTCCTCTTTTGACTTTCTTTATTGGGACAATAAAAGTTTTTTGTACCTTCAAGCATATTTTTAATGACGTCAAAATCCTTCTCACCATCATTCAAACTCATTGCTTCTTTTCCCATTGTGGGCATCTTTTTCTTGAATTTCTCTTTGAGCTTAAACCTTCCTTCGCTAGGAATCTTGCCTAGAACTCTTCATGTTTAAGGATATGTGTTGAATTCATATTTATCATACCTATAATACAATTAATTATAGTGTCTAGCACATATTTGAAACCAAGGCTCTGTATAAATATATAAATCTTGCTTTTCCCTTCATACCATTCATATGATAAGTCTCTTGAATATATTATCATTCAACCTAAAATTTTCTCATAGATTAGTGCTAGAATTTGTTGGTCTTTGTTATCAAAACTTTATATTTTAGTTAGGGAATTTGAGGCTCTTGCAAAGCCCATAAATTTTTGGTGACATTGTTGAGATTGTTTCTTTCACCAACTTTGAATGTAAGTTCACATTCATTTGAATTTCTTTTGATTCATCATTCTCTTTTGACGAGAATTTTTCCTCGGTTGTTTTGATCAATCTAAATGGGTTGGAGAAAAGGCTAAGGAGATCGATAACTTAGCTTTTAAACTTTGGTATTCTGGTAAGAGTCGCACTAGAAATGGTGTAGGTGTAATTATAGATAAAAGTTTGAAAGATAATGTTGTAAAAATTAATAGAATTGGAGATAAAATTATAGCCTTTAAGATTATTATTGATACTAAAATTTTTAATATTATAAGTGCTTATACTTCTCAAGTAGGTTTAAATATAGGGTCTATAGATAAATCTGGAATCTGGAATGACTTAGAAGATATGACTTAGAAGATTTAATACAAATGACACCTCTTGAAGAAAGAATTTTTATTAGAAGAGATTTAAATGGACATGTCGGTAGAGTGGTAGAAGATTTCAGACATATTAATGATGGCTACGGCTTTGGAGTGACTAATGAAGAAGGTAGAGCCATTTTAAATTTTGTTTTAGCGTATGATTTTGTTATCGCTAATTCTTTATTCAAGAAAAGAGATAAACATCTTATTACTTATAAGAATTAATCTAATAAAATACAAATTGATTATTTTCTTACGAGAAGAAGAGAACGTCGAGATTGTAAAGATTGTAAGACGTAAGGATTCTAAGGTCATTCTAAGTGAGAATTTAAGTACCCAACATCATTTATTAGTTCTAGATTTTAAGATTAAGGGTTGTAAAATAAAGAATATTATGACTCATCATTGTAGAATTAGATGGGGAACCTAAAAGACACATATAAAATTATTTTTATGAATAAAATTTAAGATTTCAAAATTTGGGATGTTCATGAAAGAGCGAATACTTGTGAGATAAAGTAACAAATACTATTAAACAAGTAGCAAAAGATGTACTAGAAGAATCAAAAGAAAAAGTTTCTATAAATAAAAATAGTTGGTGGAATAATAATGTGCAAGAAAAGATAAAATATAAGAAATGTTATAAAAAATTGTTTAAATATAAAAGCTTAGAGAACTTGGAAAAAATATCAAACGGCCCGTAGAGAGTCTAAAAGAACAATCTGTGACACTAAAAATTCCGCTTTTAGTGATCTTTATAACAGATTAGGTACTGAGGGTGAAAAATATATGTAAAAACTAGTCGAACAAAGAGAAAAGAAAAGTAAAGATTTAACTCAAGTAAAGTGTATTAAAGATGAAAATCAAAAAGTGTTTTTCTTAGAAAAAACATTTAACGTAGGTGGGTGAGTTACTTTGATAAACTTTTTAATGATGTTTCTAAACTTTTTAATGATAACTTTTTAATGATGTTTCTGAAAATACGATCGATCTTAATGATCTTAATATCGTTAATAATAATAAAACTTTTCTTTTTTACCGTTGCATTAGTAAAAAAATAAAGTTGAGGAGGCTTTAAAGAAAACCAATGGTGGAAAGTATGTAGGACCTGATGATATCCCAATTGAAGTGTGGAAATATTTAGGAGATGTGGGAGTTTCTTGGCTTACTAAACTTTTTAATATTATTTTAAAAACTAAAAGATGCTTAAGGAGTGGAGGAAGAGTATTTTGGTCCCAATTTTTAAGAAAAAAGGGGATGCACAAGAGTGTGCAAATTATAGAGGAATTAAGTTGATGTGTCATACTTTAAAATTAGGGGAGAGGGTAATTGAACATAGGTTAAGATTTCTGATAATCAATTTTGATTTATGTTTTAACCAATTAATTTGAGTCATTTCACTAGCTATACATTTATTGAGAGGTTTGATGGAAAGTTTAGAGATAATAAGGAGGATCTACATTTGATTTTTATTGAATTAGAAAAAGCTTACGATAAGGTTCGAAGAGATTATCCTTTGGAGAGTTCTTGAGAAGAGAGGTGTTGATATGACTTATATTCAAGTCATTAAAGATATGTATACTAGAGTTGCTACTTATGTTCGAACTGAAGGAGGATTGACCAATTATTTTCCTATTTCTGTTGGATTGCATCAGGGATCGACTATAAGCCCATTTCTTTTGATCAATCTATTATGTTTTTAAAAACCTTGTTGAATTCTTGTCAGCTCTTTCGATGCTGCTTCAACTCCATTGAGTTTGAAAATTTATGATATGATACAGAGTCCTATAATAGTCAATACATATGTTGCTCTAAACTTGTCTCACTAATAGTTGTTGATGTTGTTCTTGTCACTTTTAGTCAGATCAACTGGCTGTTTTATTTGGTTTGGGTGCTCCTATCGCCAAACTTAGAATGCTCCAAGAAATCTAGCTCTAGCTAGGCTTTGGCCACCCTCAATATTTTCTTGAGGAAGGACCATAGAGTAGTTCATGCAATCAAGGTAGCAATAACAATTGCGGCAAACACTATTTTCCAAATTGTTTAGTTTATGCTTGTGAGTCTCTTCCTTACCTTAGAGGAAGAGGTTAACACAAATCAAATTTTCTTTTCTATCCCTAAGCTTTATGTTCAATAAACTGTTATTTTTGGAGAAGGCTCAAGGTACTTGCGGGGGAGGCTCTCTTGTTTCTGGTCACTATGTTTGGAAGAGGTCTAGATTGAGACACCACCCTCCTTCTCTAACCTCTAAAAATGGGCTTAGAGAAATGGGAAGTTGTGCAACTGGCAAATAGAGGTTCCAATGTTAGCTGATGTTGTTCAATTAGCTCAGTTAATTGAGGATATCCTTCCGTCCTAGTTGGTGGATTCACATTGATGAGAAGGATATCTTCCACATAGCAGTTCCTTTGTTCTCCATCTATTTGGCAGATCATCCTTCTCTGACACCTCTACTGTCCTCTATAATAAGATTTACACCTCTTATATCCTCTCCATTGGGATTTGAAGTTTCATTTGATCGGTGTGCGGACAAGTTCCCATTTGAGGGCATCCCTTGATTTGTCGGAAGATTACATTGATTGTCAATCTTGAAAGCTAAGAAAAAAAGCAAAATACTTGTCTAGAGTCACCATTGATCATCTTAGATGACCATATTCATTAAACAAATAGCACGATACCAAATGAATTGTATTTGACAACGATTAGATATTTGCTAGCTAGTTAATATTATCTGAAAAAATTAAACCAAAAGTATTTTCTTTTCCCATTAATAATTAGCCTACTACTATTGCTTTCATTCTCTTTTTATCAAATCTATTGCCTTTAAACTGATTGAAATATCAAAATTGATGCCTATTCTAACCAAATATACGATTTGAGAGAATATAATTGTAAATTCACATAAACACCCAAATGTACAAGGCTTTGAACCCATGACCTGTGTAGTGGTAGCTGGAGCTCTTTAATGCAAACCTTTTTCTTTTATATTGTGCGTGGTTTATGTTTTATTCCTTTCTTTGGAGTTTAGGCTAAGGTTTGGTTGTAGGGTGGGAGCTATTTTTTGATGATTTCCTTAAATTCATGAGAATCTCGAGTGATATATTATGCATGTTATATTAGCTATGTTTTTTTGTTCCTTAAGATGATAATAGAGTTACTCTAGTACCACTTACGTTTTCAGGTTATCGCGGAAATTGTTGAAGTTTGCCGTGCGCATGATTTCACCGATGTGATCTTAGTTCATGAACACCGCGGTGAACCTGATGGTTTGATTGTCTGCCATTTGCCCTTTGGTCCAACTGCTTATTTTGAATTGTTGAACGTGGTATGAAATGTTGTTCAATCTTGTCTATTTTCTATGTTATATTGAATATTTCTACTGTGTTAATCTAGTTTCTACACCTTTTTTTTTTGTATCATAGGTCACAAGGCATGACATTAAAGATAAACAAGCTGTAGGGACAATGTCCGAGGCTTATCCCCATCTAATTCTTGATAACTTCACAACTAAGGTTTAATTTAATTATTTTTTACATGTGATAATATTTTCTAGCTTCATTATTTTTTGTTACATTTTCATATTTATAAAGTTGGCTGAGGAAGGATGGTGAAGCATAGCTGATGTGATATAAACCTGAGGATTTGAGTTATCTGAAAAAAAGGCAGGCTACAAGCAAAATTCATGATAATGAATAGATATGAGAAAAGTGTTAAAATAGTCTCTGTATTATTTCTATGGGATCATTTTAGTCCTATACTATAAATTTGTTCAATTTAGTTTTTTGACTCCACAAATATGGTCCAAATTAGTACATTTGCTGGATTATTTATGATCAAATTTGTGGAACAAAGGATTATCAGATTTGAGGTGTCAAGTGAACTAAATTGAACATAATATTTTCTAGCTTCATTATTTTCTGTCACATTTTCATATTCATAAAGTTGGCTGACAAAGGATGGTGAAGCATAGCATGAGGTGATATATACATGAGGATTTGAATTATCTGAAAAAAAGGCAAGCTACAAGGAAAATTCAGGATAATGAATAGATATGAGAAAAGTGCTAAAATAGTCTGCATTATTTCTATGGGATCATTTTAGTCCTATACTATAAATTTGTTCATTTTAGTTTTTTTACTCCTCAAGTATGGTCCAAATTAGTACGTTTGTTGGATTATTTCTTATCAAATTTTAGGAGCAAAGGTTTATTTTGATCAGATTCGAGGTTTAAGTGAACTAAATTAAACATATTAGTTACTCTAGATTTAAAACGGCCCCCAATAGCTAATGGTGTGTGGGAGGGATAAGTAAACTTGTTTTCAAAATTTAAGATGCTTTGATTGAAGAAAAACATGTACTGTTATCATGGGATAAAGCCCATGCAGACAATTATGTAAGAAAGAATTAATTCTTAAAGAAAAATATGTACTGTTATTTTTTTCAATTTGACAAAACACCAACATTGATTCATTATTTTACCTGTCATTTCCTTAATTTCATATCCGAAACACATGCAATCGAAGAATCTCTTACACTTAGCTTAACTCTGCTCGAGTTCTAAATGACCAAAATTAATTTCCTAAATCAGCATTGACTTATGCTTGGTTTGTCGTTTATGAAGTTTGAGTTATGTTAAACATGACCATCCCTTGGCTTAGCTTTAGCTCAACCAAAAAAACCATCCAAATGAAAGATTGCTAAAAATTATTAGTATGAAATTTTAAAAATCAAGTAGAGGATAATTAATTAGTTTATTTTTTAATTAAAACAATATATAGGTAATTAGTTTGTTATTTTGACGGATTAAATAATAATCAAGTGTTGCTTGGAGGGAAGAGTGCTTGTCGATATGCTTTTCTGGAGAGTTATGTATGATTAATAGCCTAAATTGTGATGCAGGGCCTTGTGATTTAATCCCTGGCCTTTTACTTGGCGCTTCGTCAACTCTCCAGATCAAAAAACTTTACTCTGCATAGTTAGAGTTTAAGTACTAATCCACTATTTTCCACTAGTTCAGGGGTAAGATTTTTTAAGCCAACTTTTGTCATCAAATTATCTTTAGAAGCATTTGTTCATTTGACTAGTGATTTGAGTGATATTTTAGTTGGCGGGGAGGGCTCTAAAATTATGCCGAGCTATGGAGTATGAAAAAAATTTAAATTTTCGCTTGAGTTTTTTATCATAGGGTTATTTTGTAAATCCCGAGGCTTAAAAAATCTCCTTTGGGACAATTTATTCTCAATATTAAAATTAGGATTTCTTTATATATATTAGAAGATAATTCAAGGAGAAAAACATTTGATCCAAATTTTATAAAGATTTAAAACTGGCCATGGGCCTAGGCATGTAATTTACTAGATTTTGTGGGATAAAACTTAATAGTGAAATTGAATTATGACATGATTAACTTTGTTATATTTTTTAGAAGTTCATCTAGAATTTACAATATTATATGCCATTACTTAATTGTATTTATTATTTTAATTGTTCATTTGTTCATGCAAACCATGAAAGTTTATACGAAGGTGATTGCAGTTTTTAAAAAATAGTGCTGGAGAATATCTGCTAGACTAATAGTTTTCTTTGGGTTATAACAATAAATAATTCAAAAGATATTTTATGAGTTGTTCTAAAAATACTGTTATGCAAACTCAAATTTGGTCGATTTAACTCTCAAGTGGTAATGTTCTTATCTACTAAGAACCTTAGTATACAGCATAAGAATATTTTCACAACTCATGTCCAACCATCAATTTGGGGGTGTAATATGGATGTTAATTTTAATTGTGTTCCAGATATTTTTCATAATATTTTGCAAGAAGCAAATCTAACATCATTGTCTAGAATTATTGTAGATAATGACTCATGCAGTCTAATAATATCCTTGAAAGAAATGTGATATTTTTGAGAATCTATGAGTAAGTACAAAATTATCATTATGTCCATTAGGAGTTTTTGTCAATTATAAAATGAAGTTTATGGAGAGTCCTCCCAAGACTGTTTGGGGGCTTGGAGAGTAGCGTGCTTGTCAACTTTTTGATTAGTTATTTTGGCAGATGCAATGTGTAGCGGCACATTCAATCTATTTCTAGGGATGATTGGAAAAACATTTGATTCTACTAGCTTAATGGTTTTATCTTGCCAAAGCATTATGTAGAAATGAAGTGGAAATATCAGGAAATCTCAAAGAGTTGATTGCTTGATCTAAGTTTGCAAAGCCTATTTTCTCAATAATGATAGCCATGAATAAAAAAAAGAGAGTCTATTTGAGGTGGCCATGACAAAAAAAATGAGTCATAGTTGGAAGTATTTGTAACTTTTATTTTTGAAAAGGCAAGAACCTATGATTCTATAAAGCAGGTAATAAAATTAGCTCTAGGTAGGGCATCAAGAGTTTTATGCTCAACACTTGACTTGCGTTTCAAAATGAAAAAATAGTTTTGGAGAAATTCTATCCTTCATTTTCTTGGTCGTGGTGATGTTTTCCTTAGGCGTTGATAAATTTAAGGGCATAATGGATTGAATATAAGACAAACTCATTGTGTATTAGGTAGTATCTTTAGTGTTTCAAGGGATTGGATGATGCCTTGAAATTTTCTATCCTAAGTGGAGTAGCATTGCTTGGCATTATTTAATGTTTCTCAAAATTAAGCAATGAAATAATTGCTTTGATTGAGCACTCTACCTTTGTCTATCTAAGAGGCATCACAAGAGATTTTAAAATATCAGGTAAAGTCAAGCAACTTATGAATAGGTGAAGAGATCACCAGGATTTCTATTTGGTCAAACATTATTGCCGCATTAGTTGTCCATCTAAACTTTTCCTTTCAAGAATGTTTGTGATTGGGGTCTTCATGGTGCAAAATTTTTTAATAAACTATTCATAAAGGTGGTCAATCTATAAATAATGTTGATAAAAGATTTTGGTGTTGGCCATGTCATAGTTAATTTAATTTCAGTTGGGTCAAGTTTAATTCCATTAGTAATGAGAGATAATTGGAAAAAAAATCAATTAATAGAAATGATAGAACCTAGGATTTTTTTTTGAAGGGAAAAATATTTTTTCATGTTGATGTAAAGTTTTTCAAACAATAAAATTTAAAAAATAAGTTCAAGATGCTCTATATGTGATTTTTCATTCATGTTATGAATCAAAATATTATCAAGTAATTCACAAAGATTTTTTTTAGGAATAATTTGAGAATTTTGGCCATTAATATATTAATGATACATGAAGCATTAGACAAGCAAAATGACATAACTAACCAACGATATGGTGCCTTAAAAAACAATTATCCATTAATCATCTAACCTATTGTCTGTTGATGGTAATCACTTCTAAGATCAATTTTCTAGAAAATGTCTAAACTAGAAATATGATCGAGCATTTCATCATAGTTGATTATGATCTTATTTTTATTTTGATTATCCATTCACATTCCCCTAAAGACAATTTTTTTTTTTAAACTAGAATGGTAGGGATAGCACAAGGATTAATGCTTTTTTTGGGAGAAGCACTTCTTAAATTGGTCATTTACTTGGCAATGTAATTTTGTATTTTTAGTATGATTCATCTTATAGTGGTGTCGGTTGAGCAATTGTGATTTTGTGGTGAAATCAGTTGCATTTTGGATATCTCTTATTGGGGTAGCTCATTAGATAGTTTACTAACATCAGATAAAAAAGTTAGATAAAAAATTAAGGGCATATCAAGTGCATCTTCCAAGGGATGAGGGCATGTAGTAGGTGCAGTGTGGAGTCTAGTTATCGTTTTTCTTCTCAACATTTTGAAGCTTAAATGTTTAATATGAATCTTAGAAGGAAGAGGTAGGTCATTAAAGGAAGCTTTCTGGATTATCAACTAGGATATAACTTTTTATGGGCAACCGCAGGTTAGTCAAGGTGTAAATAATAAGATAGGAGCTATACTGATGAGTATGACATTACATTAGTTCTAATCCTCATAATTGCTCTTTTTAATAGGGATCAATCATATAAAGTTCACCTGTAGGGAGACATGATTGGCCCAAGTAATATGAAATTATTTCATGATGAAGTTTAGGTTTTGGGATTGTCCCAGTAAAGGGTATTAATGGAGATAACATTCATTTCACTTCATTGATAACAACTTTGCTTCTCTTTTGAAGATATCCAGCTATCTTTTGGAACATATTACGTCGCCACTAGTCTTCCAAACTTGGTTAGGCTATTGAAAGGCTTTTTATAACAACTATTGGTGTATCATCGACATCATATTCATTTTGGAAATAGGGTCATCGTTTAAAATTCCAATTTTCTCTTAAAATAGAATTTTAGCGTTGCATTGCTTCTACATGGTTTACAGCAAATAATCTCATTAATGCTTCTATGTTGAGTTTAACGAGGTTCTTAGGCTGTCGAGCATTAGTGGAAGTTGAGATAATTAATGTTAATACAGTTGGTCTAGCGATAGACTTAGATATGGAAGTTGGATAGGTTTAGTTTTAAGGCTTTGTAAATGGGATCACTTTCC